ATAAGCTTGGTAATCTATAAATTACTTTAAGTTAAGTTGATCTATTGGTGTTCATCACTCCCTTCTTTCTGAGGTCATTTGTTTAAGTGTTTCCATGGAAGCGCGCCCATAGGCAGCCATGATCAGTTCCTGGTGTGCTTAATCAGCTCTACTGAGGGAGAAACTAACTGACTGAAGAGAAGGGGGGGAGAGGAGGTTATCTTGTGTTTGTTTAAGTGTAGTTGTTCTTGTTTTTGTTCTTTTGAGTTAAGGTAGAAAGTAAATATGTAAATAGATTGTTTGACATATTTTGTTGAGATGTACTTTATTGATTGCAGGATTTCAAGCTAATTGTTTCCCCTGCCCATGTCATAATGGCTGGTCCCAAGTTAGCTTTAAAAAGGGTGGATTCGGTACTGTTGTTGATTGTTAAGGGGAATCCATGCCCCAATGTCATGGATTGTTTGCAGTCAAAGAAAAGGGACTCTTGCTTTTTCTTCTGTTGACAAACAGCTGGTAACATGCTGAGTGAGTGACAAGGCAGAGGCTCTGGGCCAAAAACCTTACACTAAGAACCTCAGGGACTTCTGTGTAAATATTCGGTTGACTGACAAGAGCAGAACATTTTGTGCGTCCCATTCCTATCAGGAGTCAAACTGAAACACCATCAGTCAAACATGGTGGTGGTAGTGTGATGGTCTGAAGCTGCTCTGCTGCTTTAAGACATGGACCACTAGGATTCTGCTCTTTCAGAAATTTGTGAATGTCAACATCTGACCTTTGACCCTAAAGATGTGGATCACTTGTTAAATTGACACATTTGCAGTGGTCTCTAGTAGAAATTGCACTGGTACAAGTTGTACTCTAGGGAAGAAAAGACACTGGTGCACCTAGAGTTTCATCGTCTATTTTCCATCAGAATCTAATGCAGGAGACCATTTTCATGTTCAGCCTGCATGAAACACTCGGAGTGACTGATTGTGAGAAATTAAAAAAAAAATGATAAGCAGGCCATGCATGCTGGAAAACCCCCTCCAACATGGACGCTTCTGGAAAGAAGAGTGGGACAAACTCTCCAGTGAGACTCTTTTACCAGTTCTCTGAAATAACGGATCCGGTCGCTGACTCTGAGGATGTTGCAACCCGTTATTGGGTTTTGGGAATTGATTACTTTTTCACACAGGACCAGGATGGTATAGATGGCTTTGTGTTCTTAATAAATAAAAATAAATGACGTCATCATCTGATAACCCACATTTAATTTTTACTCTTGGGTACTTTTGTCTGACAATGACATTTATTTGATCTGAAAATAATTAAAAGACAAAAACAAAAAAAACTAGAACTGCAAGCAGTTATCAAACGGGTTCCAAGCCAACCAGCGCCAGTCCCCCCACCCGCCCCCGCCTTCGCCATTCCTCACGTGGCCCCGCCCCAACAACAGTTCTCCTGCCGGCATCCCGTCAGCACCAGTCTATGGTCAGCACACATCAACCTGCACAGTCAAACGAATACTCGGGGTAACTCCACTGAACCTTTTGCGCAGCCTCTACCAATCTTTCACAGGCATGGCTGACTTCTCAATCCATAACAATCCAGTTCCATCATGAAAGTTTTAAAGATTGCGGAGATTTCGTCGCTTAAGTAATGTGTTGCATGGGACAGCAGTAGCTCGGGAGGTGGAGCAGGTTTTCCAGTAATCGAAAGGTTGCAGGTTTGATCCCGACTCTGACCAACGAATGCTGCCAAGAGCAGCTGTGGCTACTTTGTATCTCATTCCCACCAGTGTGTGTTTGTGTGTATGAATGGGTGAAAGACTGACCACGTGCCCGCCCTCTCCATTCGTTTGCAAAGCCCCAGAGACACGTTCTCCTGCCGGCGTCCTGTCAGCCTCTCTAAACTGGCAGAATTAAATGAACACTCAGGAAATCGCCTTGAACCTTTTGCACAGCCTGTAGGAAAATCTTTCTTAGGCATTGATAACATCTCAATTCCTATTTACAATCCAGTTCCATCGTTTAATTTTTAAAGGTCTTGGAGATTTAGTCAATTAAGTCATTTGCTGCACGAGACAACAGTAGCTCATGAGTTGGAGCAGGTTTTCCAGTAATCGGAAGGTTGAAGGTTTGATCCAATCTCTGTCCAGAGAATACTGCCTTGCCTATCAATGTGCCCCAGGGCAGCTGTGGCTACGTTGTAGCTCATTCCCACTAGTGTGTGACTGTGTGTGTGAATGGCAGAAAGACTGATTGTGTTAAGCTCCTTGAGGGTTGTTGAACTCTACTACGGCGCTATACAAATACAGGCCATTTACCATTTCAATATTACTGACAATGTATAATAAATTAACAAAAAATGTTTTCTTTATAAAGAAATTCCTGAATATTCTTGGATCATCATAAGGTCATGAGAAATCAGGTTTTGTCATTTTTTTGTTTCTAAATATATTGAGATTCATAAATAAAATAAC